AAGGTTACCAAAGCTAGAACAGAAAAACGAATTGGATTTTTTCCTTGCCCAATTTATTTTTTAGCATATAACCCTTTTAAAATATGCTTTAGTTCACACTTTAATAGACATATTCAGTAATCAACATATAAACATCATCTGTGAAAAGATTTATGCTTCTAAAGAGAAACAGTGAAAAATTACAGCAATTAATAATTTTGGCACAAATTGGATGAACGAGAATGGACGTATAACATGTACGAGTTGAATTTGTAGGTATTAAAGAGCAGAAATTATTCAATTTCAACAAATGCCCAAAAATGCTTGTTCTTTTGAATATTTTTGAAGAATTAACCACACATTTCAAGGCAACAGGCCCTTCCTGCCTTGCACCCTAGTGAGTGTACATGGTCTTTGACAATTTAAAGTATAAGGGGCTCTACCTTCGGCTTCTTTTGTCCTATTTGCATGATTCACACCTCTTTTTAATTATTTGAGGCAACAGAATCATGGTAATGATTCTGCATTCACCTCAGTTCTACCAATCAGAAGTTGCAAGGCCAGAAATCTGTCCAGTAAGGGAATTTCTTTCTTAGTGCATTTGCGTCACTATACGTTTTTGTTCTATTTTTCTGCAGCTGGTTCAGTGAATTTTGGTCTGAGGGTGGTGAAACGTGGTGTTTTGGAATAGGTGATAGCTAAACTGTTACGATCCTGGGTCTTATGACCCAGCGTTTTGAGTTTTAGTTTATTTTTATGTTTATAGTGTATGTTTAAACTCATCAGGTTATCTAAGTTCATTTGTTTAGATTCCCCTTGTGTCTTCTACTTTTAGTCTCCCTTTGCCCTTTATGTGTTTCATGCTGCATGTCTTATGTTGTCAAGTTTGTATTGTCATATCTGCGTCTCATGTTTCCTTTTTCATTTTGAAGGTCCATGTCCTACATCAGTGTATGTGTTTCCACTTCCCCTAATCACCCTTGTCCGTATTTAGTCTGTGTGTTTCTCTTCATTCTTTGTCAGGTTGTCTGTTGTTCATGTCATGCTTCCATGTTTCAGGTATTGTTGCATCCAGGCCAAGTTTCATGTTGAGGGTTTTTTCATGTTTATTTTTAGTTCACCCAGTTTAGGTTAATGTTAGCTTTGCTTCAGTTTGTCTTGCCCTTTGTTTGTACCCTTTTTACCTTTTTACCTTTTTTTTTTTTTTTTTTTTTTTTTTTGTTAACATTCAAGTTTTGTTCTCTGTTCCTTGAAGTCTGTGTTCTGGGTCCTTTTTGTCAATCCATACAGTCTGCCTCTGCCAGACTGTAACATAAGCTAACTAACTAGCCATTGTTTACATCATTACATGCAGTCTGGAAAATTCTGGGCTCGGTTGTTTGTGTTTAGCTAACTTTTGTGCATTTACGGACCTGCTCTTTTAATCACCGCTTGTTTTTGCTCTTTTTGGTGGTTGTAGAAATGGTTTAAATGAGCATTTAGCTGAGATTCTAAGATTTCTGTAGATGTTACACATGTTGATATCTACATACAAGGCTTGACAGTATGGAGGGTAACATAACTCTTGAGCCCCAGAGCCCTCCAGAGCCCCATTCCCGCCAGTACTGGGGGCAATGGTACAACTTTGATAAATCAACGTATTTGCTGAAGTTGATTCCAACTGAGTTAATCTCCCCCAAATTATGTTAGTCCATTTTTTTTAATACTAATAGAAACCCATTTATTAACGTGGAAATCTGTTCCATGATGATTATAAGAGTTGTTTTTTATTGAACCTGCAAGGATTTATATTAACTTTCACATAGTTATCACTCTATCTATCTATACTTGTCAGGGTCATGGAGGGCCTGAAGCCTATCTCTGCTATCATAAGGCAAGAGGCCTGGTACACCCAGGACAGGTCACCAGTCTATCGCAGACGACCATTCACACCTGTGGCTTACAGGTCCATCGAGTTAATGTGATCCATGAATTGTGGTACATCCTGAGATTTCCAGAGTAGAATAACAAAGCCCTCTTTTCCACTTCTTTCATGTACAAGTTGGCCACAATGGGTTTAACTGGAGAAGCCATGGCACACTCATGTTTTTGCCTGTACATCTTTTGCCAGCTTACAATGCTATGATTGCAGCCATTCCCCAACTCTCTGTCAATGGTAGTCATGGCCATTGATCAATGTTCACAACAATTTGCATGTTAATGATCCAAAAAATTGACCTCACAGTGCATTGTTCACCAGCGGTGCAGATTTTGGACTTGTTAACAGATGACAGATTAGGCCCGGGCATGTGATACTTTCAGGAAACACATAATATTAAAAAGGAACAATTCATTCACTTCCATCATTGAAGTTGGCTAATAAAAACCATACCCCATCTCCTTATGCATTTACCTGTCCAAGTGTACACAGGTGTGTCTGACATGTAATAAATAACATTCTACATTCTTAAGGTCTGTAGTCTACATGCTATATCCAAAAAACAGTCCCCACTATTTTATTACTTTTTGTCTCTGATATAAGCAGACTTCTGGGTCCGTGGTGTTCCTCCCCCTCCTGAAAAGGTGAAAACAGCTGCCATCTTTCAGTCACATACATCAGTCTGTCCACTGACGTTCTTTCCATGACTTTCCCTAGATGAGAAGTTAGTGCTATAGGCTTATAATGTGTGGTCTTAGTGGGGTCCTTTCATGGTTTCACACTTGGAATAATTAGAGCTTCTTTCCTGCTGCCTGCCATATTCTATTGTAGAAGAACAGCAGAGCATTCAGTCCCTCATCCTCTAACTGTTTATCATAATGTATGGGAGTGAGACAAAATGTTTTTTTGAGAATGCAATTTATTGAACAACAACAACACTTAATCTGAAACAGGCTGTTTTACAGCTGATCAAAGGTTTAGGACCACATGCCTTTAAAAGGCCACATATAATAAAGGCTAAGATCAAGGTAGCACAGAGGGAGGTTAGCCAACTATCGGAGCTGCAGAAAGGTGCGATGAGGAAGGTGCCTAAGAAGTATAGCAAGCTGTCCATACCAGAGGCCTTGGAAACTGCAAAGCCACGACTCACAGCCTTGGCTGGCCGCTTGAAGAGGCACACCAGAGAGATAGAAGGCAGGAGAATAAACCAGCTGTTTTCCACAGAACCAGCCAAGGTGTAGTCTCAGTGGCAGAGGAACAATTTGAGATCAGCACCCGCAAAGCTGGAGATGGAGCAATACCAGAAGAGCATATGGGAGAAGGATGCAACCCATAACAGCAATGCTCAGTGGCTAGTGGATCTGAGGGCAGACCACAGCAACCTCCCTGATCAGAGACCAGTAACCATCACAGTGGCAGATATCCAAGAAAGGGTCTCCAGTATGAAGTGTTGGACAGCACCAGGCCCTGACATGACTCACGCCTACTGGCTGAAGAAGCTGACTGCACTCCATGAGTGTCTGGTAGTACAGATGAAACAGTTGCTAGTCGATGAGAGACACCCAGAATGGCTAACCAAAGGCTGGACAGTCCTGACTCCCAAGCTAGGCGAGTGGCTCCAGCAGATCCCCGGACATTGGAGAGCACAGTCCTAGGAACAGCTAAGATACTGCGCAGGACCCTCAAGCTCCCAGGCCTCTGGTAGAGGACCCGAGCTTGAAGGATAGACCGCCCGCAGGGGCGAGTGGGTATATATGTAAATATGGAGAGAGAAATATACAGGATTCTGACAGTGTGTTTGTCTGCGCTTGGGTCCACTCTTTGTGCGAACCACTGGTTCATTACAATTGTGACAACATGGCTTTAGGTCTTTGAGATTTATTCTCCTGTGATACTTACCTCGTCTTCTTGTGCCCACAGCTTGCATTGTTTCCACTTTCAACCTTGTCACTGTTTGCAGCATCAAGCCAACTTCACATTCACCTTCATCGGAAAATATGGATTTCCCTCACTTCAGTTGCCTGCACTCCTGCTCCACCACCACCACAGGTCAGGAAGTAAAAGCTAATCATCCATCACTCTGCCTGACCACCCTCCACTCAGACTCCTCCTGTCCATAGCACTTGCCCCTTCACCTCTAGTCGCTGTCTAGGCTCTCGTCTTGCAACCCTTTATCGTTGTATACCACTGCCCAAGCCAGTGTCGAGGAATGCTACTCCATTTTCTCCAGTGTTGTTCCGTGCCAGCTACATTTAGTTATCAGTGCTCAGTTTCTGTTTCAATAAAAAATATAAAACTTTATCACTGTCTGATTGTTAACTGCATTTGGGTCCATTTCCTGTGTCCGCCCCTGGGGCTTGTAACAAAAATGCAGTTCCGAAAGGTCACAGTCAAGAGGACAGGAGACAAACCAGAGAAAATTAGAAAATCCTGATGACCGTTGATCTGCTCTGTCTGCAGCTCTAAGATCTGCAGATTTGGTGGTGCTCTTTAAACACTTTCACGGTTGGTTTTAGTTTTTTGACACGGACATGGTAACCAGTATTTGTGTATGAATAAGTTTTAGTTCAAGTGATACTGTTTTTTAAAGCACAGTTTATGTATAGGCTTTTAAAAATGAATTTTTACCATGTTTAATTCTGATTTTTTTTTCAAAAGTCTTTAATTCTTCTTTAATTGTAATTTTGCCCTTATGAAAGACGTGTGGTTGTTAGTTTCTAAAGAAGTCATGATTATAAAACCTAACTAAAGTTTGAATTTTCCTCTTTTGATGAAGGCAGGCTTAATGTGTTCAAGTCTTGTCTGTATACAGACCTCAGTCTACTTAGAATAAGGGAGAACATTTATTTTTCTAGAAATGAATGCATGGTTAAACAGATATAAAGAGATCAGATCTAAATGGTGACTAAATATTAGGCATTGTCAATGTTGCTAGAGAAGTTCTCAATGGAGTCACCTTCAGAAATATCTCTTATTTTTGTTCTACTGTACTGAGTTTCTGTTGGGAGCAAAGGAAAAATGTCAAATGGAAAGATATGATTGGTCATGTCTCATCTGAATGAAACAAACAGGAAGTGAGTGAAGGACACAGGAAATGTTTCCGGCTCTTCCTCCTCTTTCAGAAATTCTCTCCATACCTGAGAGTGTCCAGTCTCCAGCCTGGAGCCTTCAGTCCAGCAAACAGCAGCTTCATTCCTGATAGTCCTGGATGATTGTAGCTCAGGTCCAGCTCTCTCAGATGGGAGGGATTGGAGCTCAGAGCTGAGGCGAGAGAAGTACAGCCTTCCTCTGTGATCAGACAGCCTGACAGACTGCAGACACACAAAACAACAATCCATCAGTTAATTGTTCACTAAACATTTGTTTTTAATTTTCTTCTTTTGGAGAGAGTACGCCAATCATCACATGATCAGTGCTTCATGACACTGGGGAGGAAGAAGTCTCTTTGAACAGCAAGAAACCTGAAACAGGACCAAGGGGCAGGGATAGAATTGACCAAATGACTACCCCGAGGTACCCCTGAGCAAGGTATTGTCTCTACACACTGCTCCCTGGCTGCTGGATTGGTGGCTGCCCACTGCTTCACTGAGTGAATAGGTTAAATGCAGAGGAGTAATTTCCCACAGGATTAATAAAGTATACACTATTATTATTATTACAAGTTTGGGGAGGAGCAGCTATGTCACTGTTAGATGGGTATGTGGATAGAGGAAAAGTAAAGATAAAACTTGTCACAGCAAGGATCAAACATAAAGCACAGGAGAAATTAGACAACATTTAAAGACATGCTGTTACATATAAACAAATCAGGAAGGAAAAGAAACGTATACTCAATGGCTCATGGAAAATCCCCTAGCGGTCTGACTGTATAGCAACATAACTAAGGGATGCTTGAGAGTCTGATAAGCATTATCCAGCCTCTACAGTACATGGGCCTGATAGACTAATAGACAACACTCTGTCTTGTTTTCTGTTTTTAGAAAATATACAAATCATAAGTAAGTCTGCACTCTGGGTCTTCCATCAGGTATGAGTGATTTAAGTTATGACGGAATCTGATTGTGCAAGGTTTTATGTGGGGAAAAAGGACTTTCTCTGTATCTATGAAGCGCCTTGAGGCGACTTTTGTTGTGATTTGGCGCTATATAGATAAAATTGAATTGAATTGAACTTTACCTTTAATTCTAGATTTTACAGCAAGCCAAAAATGACAACTCAAAATTGGATGAATATAATCTCTCTTACTAATGTTCTCAGTACTCTTATTGTCACGTTTAGGGAAATGTTCCAACAGCCTTTTAGTGAATTACATTACTCTAGCCTCTAACTACCAAATATCAATTTTCAGTATCATTCTGAGATGTGATGTTATTTATTTTAGTCAAGAACAAAGATTGTTTCCTTTACTATGCACATGACTCCTCGCAGTTTTATAAAATATTTTCAGGTGTAATTCATACTAAATAACCCATTCCAAATTACTAAATCTATTAAGGTTAGTTGTTTATGCAATAATTTTCAGATTTTATGATAAATGATCATTTAAAAAAGTGTCTTTACCTGAGAGTTTCCAGTTCACAATATGGACTCTTTACTCCAACAGACAGATGCTTCACTCCTTCGTCCTTGACTTCATTTTTACTCAGGTCCAGCTCTCTCATACTAGAGAACTGGGAGCTCAGAACTGAGGACAGTACTTCACAGCTTCTTTCTGAGAGATCACATCCAATCAGTCTGAAAGATTAGAAACACAAAGAACAATAAAACAGGTATTAAAAGTGTCTTCATGTTGAAGTGAGAACTATTTAACAATATTTAAGCTTGTTTTTGACAGGGTTCCTGGGTTGTTGAATCAGTGTTTTCAGTTTCTTCATGTTTAGTTGATTTTTCCACCTGTTCACATTTCCTGTTTTCCTGTGGCAGCCTTCTGCTGATGTATATGCTAGATATGTTCTAGTTTGCTTCCTGTGTATCATTAGTCAGATTATGATCACCTGTGTACTCACCCGTCTCTAATCATCATCATCATCAATCACTCCATTTAAGTCTTTAGTTTCCTCCAGCTGCTTGTCTTGTCATTGTCAATCCCACATGTGTGTCTCAGTTCAGTTCAGCCAGCCAGTCAGTCATTCAGTCAGCCATCTTATGTTCCAATTCATTTTAATAAACACCATCCTTATCCTTCACTGCGAGTCCTGCGTTTGGCTACTCTCCTTTCTTCCTCACATCCACACAGCAATCACCCTGACAGAATGACAAGACCTGTGCCACAAGGACACGCTAAGGACCCAGCGATCTCGGATTTATTGGAGTGGCAGTAAAACTCCGGACAAGTCTCCCCTTGGGTGGAGGAGCTCAGGTGGAAACAAAAGATATGATGTCATGATCTTGTACAATGTTACATCTCTCTTCACTTCCTTCCCAGTCACGGAAGGGTTGGAGGTAGTTCGTAAGAGATTACAGGATGACCCCAGCCTCAGCAACAGGACCACTCTCAGCATCAACCAAGTGTGTTTGCTTTTGGAACTGTCTTCATTCCACCTATTTCACATACAAGGGTCAGTACTACAGGCAGAAATATGGGTGCGCTATGGGTTCCCCAGTTTCACCCATCGTGGCCAATTTGTACATGGAAATGGAAAAGAGGGCTTTGCTATCCTACCCTGGAACACCACTGAGTGATTGGTTCAGGTATGTGGATGACACCTGGGTGAAAATCAAATCTCAGGACGTACCACAATTGACGGACCACATTAACTCGGTGGACCAACACATCAATTTTACCAGGGAGGATATGAAAAGTGGCAGGTTTGCCTGTAATCTGTAAGATTTTCATCAGTAATGGGGGACATCTAAAAGCTGTTATGTACCGGAAACCTACGCATATGGATCAGTATTTAAGGTTTGACTCTTGTCATCCACTGGCGCATAAATGGGGTTTCATCAGGACGCTACAACACAGAGCCAACACCATCCCAACAGGCACAGCGGCATGGGAAGAGGAAGAACATTACGTCAAGAAGGCCCTGAGTAAATGTGGTCAGCTGGACTTTTGTCAAAGCTGGACTCAGCTGGACTTTTGTCAAACCTGGGAAGGCGCCTAAAGAAAGCTTTAGCCAATCCAGGAGAGAAGGACAACCGCTGACAAAGTAAAAATCCATAGTGATCCTGTACCTATCAGGAGTATTGGAACAGTTGAGACGCATTTTTTCTAAACACCGCATCTTTGTGGCTTTTAAACCCCAAAACAAGCTGTGGCAAAAATTGGCCCACTCTAAGGACCGGGTCCCCTGACACAAAGAGAGTAACATAGTGTACACTGTTAAGTGCCAGGAGGATTGCCAGGATTTATACATCAGGGAAACCAAACAACCTCTGGCAAAGCGGATGGCACAACACAGAAGAGCTACCTCATAGCCATGGTCCTCATGGCCATTGATCAGTGGTCTTTGATCAGTGGTTGTTGATCAATGGTCATGAGAATTTGCATAATTGTGATGAAGGAACTGACCTCCCAGCCCGTTGCTCCTTCAGTGGTGCCAGTTTAAATCATTATGCAAATGTACTGTTTATAAGATTGGGGAGACCTACAGTCAGCTGAGACTGAAGAAGTCACTTGGATGAGTGACACAACTTTTCTTCCACTAAAAACGCTACGTCCAGATGAACAGAATCAACTTTTGAAGGGGTCATCAAAGACCATTCATGGCACTGAATCTGATCATTTTTCTCATCCGGACATTATTACCTCACCTATCTCTCAGCCTTTTTCTGCTAGCAGGGTGACTCAGACCCTGCCTTCCCCTTCACCTGTTCCGGTTGCTTGGGTGAAGGTGGCTAAGGCTCAGCCTGTCCTTGTATTAGCTCCTCAGGTGGCTAGGGCTCAGCACGTCCCCGCACCCATGCCAGTTCCTCAGGACTGGGCAGCTGACTGCCAGCCATCACCCGTTCCTGTGCCAGCTCCCAGAGCAAGGGCAGCTGAGATCCAGCCTACTCCAACACCAGTTCCTATTCCCCATGTGGTGGTGGCTGATGTCGGTAACTTCCGTGCCTGTCCCAGTACCCAGGGTGAGGGTGGCAAGCACCCAACCTGACCTCACTGGAGGCTCAGGTGAGCCCATCCAGCCATTGTCCTCATCTTCTGGAGGTTGGGAAGAGCTCTCTCAGCAACCTGCTAGTTCACCACTTCATCCACCTCCACAACCAATATTCCAGGCCCTAGCTAGATCTCTGGTGCGGTTAGCAGCCCTGGTCCCAGCTCAGGGATCAGCTTTATCAGCTCAGGCTGCAGCAGTGTCACCATTGCCAGCTTATGCACAAGCTCAATCACCACCTCAGCCATTGGTTCAACCTCCAGTTAAGTCTTTCGCTCACCCACCAGTTCAGTCTTCAGTTCAGTCTCCAGCTCAATCACCTGACCTACAACCACAGCAGCCAGAGCCGGCTGTGGGGTCTTCTACGTCTCAGGCAGGGGTTTCCACACCGGCTGGCCCTGCCCCACCGACGGCTCCCACACCGGCACCTGCAGCTCAACCTCTGGTGGCTCCCACAACATCGCCTGCAGCTCCATCTCCGGCAGTTCCCACGCAGTCACCTGCAGCTCCTCCACCGGCGGCTCCCATGCCGTCATCTACAGCTTCTCTGCCCGTCTGGTCTCATTCTGCACCTGCCTAGCTTCAATTAGTGCCTTGGCCATCTGCCAAGCTGAACTGAGATGTACCAGTCACAGCTCCAGTGACAGCTTCACCTGGACCGCCGTCTTCCACGTGGCCTCCCTCCAGATCGGCTCCAGTGTCTTCGCTGACCGCTCGGCCTCCCACCTGTACTGAATTCTCTCAGCCACTGGCCACGTGGTCGACATCCCGAAATGATTAATTTTGGACTCTGTTCCTCCAGTCTTCATTAACAAACTCACTTATAAGATCTTTAATCAAGGAGATGGTGGGAAGTAATAAAGTACAAATGCTTCATCACTGTACTTAAGTAAAATTTTGAGGTATCTGAGCCTGAGTATTTTTTTTTACTACTTTTAATACTACTTTATTTTTACTACTTTTTTATGCCCTTAATTTTTAATCATTATGAATAACCAGAAGATGTTGCACAACAAGACATAACATGTGCAAAAAGTTGGACAATGATTTTTTTTTTGATACAAAACTGGAATGACTGCAGTTGTCCGTAAGTTGCGGCTGTGGTACTTCTAGCTAGGGAGGTCTAAAAATGACAGTCTTCATTTATTAACAAATTTTTAAAATAATTACTGTCTTTCTATTATCAATAATATTTGCCCTATTAAAACTGTGTACCCTGTACAGGTCGCCAGTCTGTCGCACCCTAACACACAGAGACAGACAACCATTCACACTCACATTCACTCTGTATTCACACCTATGGGCAATTTGAATTAACCAATTAACCTATCCCCACTAACTGCATGTCTTTGGATGGTGGGAGGAAGTCGGAGTACCCGGAGGTAACCCACGCAAACACGGGGAGAACATACAAACTCCACACAGAAAGACCCCGGCATGATGGTGGAATTAAACTCAGGACCTTCTTCCTGTGCGGCAACAGTGCTAACCACCATGCCACCGTGCTACAATGACCAATAAATAATGAAATATGCTAGAATACTTAAAAGGATGAAACTGAACTTAATTTTGTGAAAGGTTTAACTGGTTAATAAAAGAAAGTCATTAGATCCAACCTGAGAGTTTTGAGTTTACAATATGGGCTCTCCACTCCAAAAGACAGCTTCTTAACTCCTGAGTCAGACAGGCCATTGTTACTCAGGTCCAGCTCTCTTAGACTAGAGAACTTGAAGCTGATAACTGAGGACAGAGTTTCACAACTCCTCTCTGAGAGATTACAGCCATTCAGTCTGAAAAAAATAATACAAAAGACACACACATGTGTTCATGATACAATCAGGACTTAAGAGATTTCGTTTTTAAAAGAATCCACAATGATGTCTTCTGTTAAAGATGCAAGCATACAAAAAGGATAAAAATTTGACTCACTCACTCACTCACTCTCTCACACACACACACACACACACACACACACACACACACACACACACACACACACACACACACAGAAAGTCACCTGAGAGTTTCCAGTTTAGAATGTTCACTCTTCAAGCCAGCAGACAGAAGCTTCACTCCTGAATCATTCAGCTTGTTGTTACTCAGGTCCAGCTCTCTCAGACTAGAAGACTGGGATCTGAGAACTGAAGACAGAGCTTCACAGCTTCTCTCTGAGAGGTTACAGAAACTGAGTCTGAAAAAAAAGTGTTTATGATAAAATGTTATCATTTTTTGATATTGGTCCTAGGTAATAAAAAAATACAGTACTCTGCAAAGGTCACTGAGCCACCCCTCATTTCAAAATCAAAAATATTTGCTGTTATTTTAAAAACAAGTATACCTAGAAATGAAGCGTATATAAAAAAAGCTTGCATATTTCTAACAGATTTGAAAGTCAATGGTATGACTCCATCCTCTCTTGATGCACTCTCTACATAGTCATTTAGCAGTAAACACCATGCACCTTCAGTATTCTTTCCAAATTAAGAAGCATAATGCGCCTCTTCAGCCCTTCAGCCACCTGTTGTTAGTTCATTAGCTTTAGATTGTCACCAAGTCGAGGTATAATTTTCTTCATTTCTTATATGATCATTTCTTATATGAACTTGTTAAAGAGCGAGGTCCCGTTATATATTTCTATTTCTTAATAATTGAACACACCTATTATTTTCTTAAGTAGAATTATTTTATTTCTAAAAAAGGGATGATCAAATGTTTACTTACAGAGCTCTGTTGGAGGCTTTGACCACTGGCAGCAGCCTCAGAAGAGCCTTCTCTGAAGAAGAGTATTTCTTAAAGTCAAACTCATCCAGATCTTCTTCTGATGACAGTAAGATGAAGACCAGAGCTGACCACTGAGCAGGAGACAGTTCATCTGTGGAGAGATTTCCTGATCTCAGGGACTGTTGGATCTGCTTCACTAGAGAACGATCATTCAATTCATTCAGACAGTGGAACAGGTTGATGCTTTTCTCTGCAGACAGATTCTCATTGAGCTTCTTCTTGATGTACTGGACTGTTTTCTTATTAGTCTGTGAGCTACTTCCTGTCTGTGTCAGCAGACCTCGTAGGAGAGTCTGACTGGTCTGCAGTTGAAGACCCAGAAGGAAGCGGATGAACAAGTCCAGGTGTCCATTTGGACTTTTTATTGCCTTCTTCACAGCACTCTGGTAGAAGACTGTCTCTGCGGATTTGGCTTCACTCCTTGATTCTTGTTTTCTAAATAACTTGAACAATTTCAGGTGTTTTTCTTCCAGCAGATTGAATCCAGAGTTGATGAAGGTCAGATGGACATGAAGAGCAGCCAGAAACTCCTGAACACTCAGGTGGATGAAGCAGAACACCTTGTTCTGGTACAGTCCGCTCTCCTCTTTAAAGATCTGTGTAAACACTCCTGAGTACACCGAGGCTGCTCTGATATCGATGCCACACTCTGTCAGGTCTGATTCATAGAAGATCAGGTTTCCTTTCTGCAGCTGATCAAAAGCCAGTTTTCCCAGAGACTCGATCATCTTCCTGCTCTCTGGACTCCAGTGTGGATCTTTCTCAGCTCCTCCATCATACTTGACCTTCTTCACTTTGGCCTGAACCACCAGGAAGTGGATGTACATCTCAGTCAGGGTCTTGGGCAGCTGTCCTCCCTCTCTGGTTTCCAGCACATCCTCCAGAACTGTAGCAGTGATCCAGCAGAAGACTGGGATGTGACACATGATGTGGAGGCTTCGTGATGTCTTGATGTGGGAGATGATCCTGCTGGCCTGCTCCTCATCTCTGAATCTCTTCCTGAAGTACTCCTCCTTCTGTGGGTCAGTGAACCCTCTGACCTCTGTCACCATGCCAACACAGTCAGGAGGGATCTGATTGGCTGCTGCAGGTCGTGTGGTTATCCAGAGGCGAGCAGAGGGAAGCAGTTTCCCCCTGATGAGGTTTATCAGCAGCACATCCACTGAGGTGGACTTTCTAGGGTCAGTTAGGATTGTAGTTTTGTGGAAGTCCAGAGGAAGTCGACACTCATCCAGACCATCAAAGATGAACACAACCTGGAAGTCTTCAAATCTGCAGATTCCTGCTTCTTTGGTTTCAGTAAAGAAGTGATGAACAAGTTCCACCAAGCTGAACTTTTCCTCTTTCAGCACATTCAGCTCTCTGAAAGTGAACGGAAATATGAACTGGATGTCCTGGTTGGCTTTGTCTTCAGCCCAGTCCAGGGTGTATTTCTGTGTTAAGACTGTTTTCCCAATGCCAGCCACTCCCTTTGTCAGCACTGTTCTGATTGGTTCATCTCTTCCAGGTGAGGCTTTAAAGATGTCTTCTTGTCTGATTGTTGTTTCTGGTCTGTCTGTTTTAATGGATGCTGTTTCAATCTGTCTGACCTCATGTTCATCATTGACCTCTGCAGTCCCTCCCTCTGTGATGTAGAGCTCTGTGTAGATCTGATTCAGAAGGGTTGGGTTTCCTGCTTTAGCGATGCCCTCAAACACACACTGGAACTTCTTCTTCAGGTTAGATTTAAGGTTAGGCTGACAAATTGCAGCTGGAAGTTCTGAATAACAATAATAAAATAGAACATCAACAATCAATTCATGTTCTTTACAAAATGCTCATTATAATTTCAGTCCCACAAAGAAATTACTCTCTATAAGGTAATCGATCTCTTTATACATTACTAAATATTTCATTCATCCAGCAGCTTAAATCTTTACATAAATCCTCTTACTGCTCTGCAGATGGTCAGCCAGCTCCCCCTCCTTCATTCTCCTCAGGAAGTCCACAATAATCTTCACAAATGCCTCTCTGCTGCTCCTACCCTGTTCACCATCCTCCCTTGGACTCTTTAAGCATTCTGTGTACTCTGGACTCAGAACCTTCTGGATCTTCTTCAGCTCGTTCTTCACAAAAGTGATGATGTTTTCCTCCAGCAGCTGGAACAGAATACTTTATGAATGACCCAATCAGACTGAAATCATTGAGCCAAAAATCAGATCCACACTGACTATCCACTGGTCTACAAAGAGCAGCATGAAGATGACTGTAAACAGAATAGATGTAAAAGTAGTTGTTGTACATGTACAGACCATAAATATCGAGTCCAGGTGTGTTTGATGCTGCTCGGCAGACTGACTACTGGGAACCTCTGAGCTCTCCTGGTCCACTCTGTGGAATTAAAAATTAGTTCAAGAATAATAATTTAATTCAATTCATGTCAATTCAATTCAATCTTTATTGACATACTTTATGTCCATAAAGAGAAGACAAAACACCAGAAAACCCCCCCACAACATATAAACCTAAATAAAATGTATATAAAATTTAAAACATTTGTAAAAATATAAAACCCTAATATACATAAAATACACAGCTACTTAAAAGAAATAAATATATACACAAACACTTCAACCGGTGCTTTCTCAGACTGGATGAGTAATGGGAACCGTGGCTCGGGGGTTGGGAATCGCATCTGTAACCGGAAGGTCGCTGGTTCGATCCCTGGGCTCTCTGTCCTGGTCGTTGTGTCCCTGGGCAAGACACTTTACCTACTTGCCTACTGGTGTTGGCCAGAGGGGCGCGATATGGCAGCCTCGCTTCTGTCAGTCTGCCCCAGGGCAGCTGTGGCTACAACTGTAGCTTGCCTCCACCAGTGTATGAATGTGAGAGTGAATGAATAGTGGTATTGTAAAGCGCTTTGGGTGCCTTGAAAAGCGCTATATAAATCCAATCCATTATTATTATTATTGGATCTGTGTGTACTAAAATTATTCGGTTTCTAGAGTCATCCAGTCATTCTCTATAAATGAACATTAACTTTCTTAAAAGTGCTTTACAAGTCCAAACATGCACAGCTACAAACATCTGGCTGGCACTACCCCTTCTAGGTATCCTACAAGGATTCACATTGCATCATTACATGCAACATGCAGCTTCTGCATGCTACATTGTTTTTAGAATGGCCACAAGTGGGCAGTAGATAGAGGTGTGCAATATGCTTTAAACAAAGCCACTTTATCTGGAGGTGAACATGACCTGAATTTGCGTGCAGTAGTATTTGCTTGCACACAGAGCTTCTGCCTTTGTCTGTATATGTCGTCATCATTTATTTGGTCAGTATTATAGTGACCGAGGTATTTAACCTTTTTATGAAAGCTATCCTGCTAGGTTCTCCATATCAAGACAGCTCTTCTAACAGCATTGTACTTTATATCATATAGCACACCATATTCAGTACAGACATTAAGAAGCGCCTGTAAACCAGCACTGCTTGGACGAAAAACAACCAGGTCACCTGCACGTATAAGATGATTTATCAATGTTATACCTAATATAAACCCAGTGGTATAGGCTTTTAGCTGCATGAACAAATCATCAACAAATAAATTAAATAAAATTGGAGTTAAAACCCACCCTGTCTGACAGCATTGCTGACAGCAAGGGGGGCAGAAATACTGCTTCTTCATTTAACCTGCATCTTCTGATGAGCGTGCCAGTAAGAGAGAATCCTCACAGTGTATCCAGGAACTCCCCGTCACTTCACTTTATCCAAAGGGTTTCTGTGGTTTAATCGATCAAAACTTTAGAGGCATCCATGAAACACATAAGGACAGATGAATTTTTAGCCCTATACAAACTATTTCCTTGACTGCACATATGCACATGACAGTGCTATGCTTTGCTTTGAAGCCAAACTGATCATCCAGGGAAGAGATGAAAACACTAACTCTATCAAATAAGATCCCTTCTGGGGCCTTAGATAAAATACTGGCTAGTGCAATCAGCCTATAATTATCCAGACAGCTCACTTTTGCAGCTTTATATTTCATAACTGGTACAAGTAAAATGCATAGCACTGACTCAGGTAGTATGCCATGAATCATAAACCCAGTGAAGCAGAGCGCTAGAAGAGGAGCTAGCCTTAAACTAGCATGTTTAAATGTTTTGCAGTGATGTGATCCAAGCCACAAGATTTACTATTAGATAACCTGCAAATGGTTTCATTTACCTCATGTGTCCTTACACTAATTGCTTCATCGCTCATGTCAGAATTGTCTTCATATGGTTCACTTTTTATACAGTTAAACAACGCACTGTAATGCTGTCTCCATAATGCTTCAATGTTATCTGCCCCAGAAACACCGTCAACAGTTGATGGTAGAGATGGTTTACAATTACTAAGACCTTTCACCTCTTTCCTCTTTCATACAGAGCAGTCACTATATCATCACACATGGAGCAGAGTTCATCTTTATGCACAACATTCTTACAGTTGACATCCTTGTACAAAATCACTTCTTTGGGCAAAGAAATGTTTTTCAGAGGTATATCGGCATTACTATAATAAGCTAAGAAGTCATCTTCCCTAAATGCTGACCAGTCTAATTTTACACTGGTAGAAATAGTAGCAATATTATTTTCAGTTATTGCTGGCATTTGTTCCACATTCACAGTAAAACCAAAAGGTAAATGGTCTGACACAGTTACCTCATACCTATGCTTGGCACCACTGTACCGTGTCTGCGCAGTTTAGAAAAACGCCAGACCAGAGCCCCTTCAGGCTAGAGTAAAGGATTGTACATTTAACTCACATCATTACATTAAGCAGTAACCTTGAAAGAGTATAACTAGCTATGTTAACTAGAAATATTTTGACAGGTCACATCTCTACTGAGTTTCTCTCTCAAATACAAAGCAAGAGTTTCTGCATCTACATCCAGGGCAAATTTAGTGGCAAATACGCTCACCAATTTAGTTTTCACAGTTTTGATTGTACTCACAGCTCCAGTGCCAATGATCGATACAGCTCCAGGCCTCTTATTGCGTCCAGTGGTAAAAGCATGCGTTCCTGAACCTGAATTAACCTTCTCCAACTTCCAACAAAGTCTGCCATTTTTCACAACTTTACGCAACTGTGGGGAGCATGTAAAAAGCTCTGTCTCAACAGAATCCTCCCTTGTTGCAGTAGTTTCCATATTAGGACCTGAGGCTCTCATCAGAGCCCGATCTTGACCACATAGCAATATCTCCGCACAAAACGCTGACACTGTGCTTGTCCCAGTCTTTGAACCAGCCAAAGTTCCGGTTCCCTGCCTTCCACATGGGCCACCTTTAACTCGACTCCCCTGCCGGTCCTCTGAGTGCTTCCACAGGGGAAGTGGGAAGCGGTCTCCGGCCCCTGAGCATTCAAAGTAATAGGCTCAGTCAGCACCTCAAACTGACACTCAAGAGCAGTCACACGTTGGTTGACCTCGACAGCATTGGTCTTAAATTGCTCAAAAACATCTGCCTGTAGTTTGATTGGATGTTTTAAAGCACCCACCTCAGCACATAGCTGGTCCATTCTCCGTAGTAAACAACACACATCCATGCTGGAGTATGTAAGAGGCGGCAAATCATCCAGGTACGAGAGACAAATCTGGGGATATTCTCACCACACTCATTCAGCACTTTAAGGCAGAGTTTAATATTGTTATGATGTCCTTTATATCCAACGCACCGCTGTGAGGTAGTAGGGCAGAGCTCAAACAAAACTTTCTTGGAGTCAAATGTGTTCCTGGCCAACAACACAATTTCATCCTGACTTAAAGTTTTTTTAGTTTTTACAGCAAGGAAATTAAGTAGTTCATCCTCTACAATTACCCCTTCCATCAGTCATTTTATATATCTCTGGTTTTAATCAAGACCGTTTGAATGCCAGAGCTATGTCTGCACCACCACTTGCTACATCCACTATCTTGGAATAAATAAGCATACAATAACTACAACCTTTTTTAAAGTTTAAAAATTGTACACATACAGCCACCTAAAATGGCTGAATCATCCCTGACAAGACCATGATTGATGACAGATAGATGACTGTAATAATATCTCCCATCTGTGACCTGGATTTGTAATCCAAATTCAAATTTTATTTGTCACACACACACACAACCATACACAGTATGACATGGGGGTGAAATGCTTGTAGCTGTACAATGCCCGACCATTAAATGACAGAAGAAAAGTTTTACAATATTTACAATTTACAGTTTACTACAGAATTTACAAATAAACTTAGGAATTTACAGTAAAGAATGTGCAAATAGCAGAAGAGATTATAAAGATTATAAA